TTGTGTCTAATAACACTTTAACCCTGGGTTATTGTGTCTAATAACACGTTAACCCAGGGTAGGGTTGTTGTGTCTAATAATACCTACATTTAGGATTATTGTCAGTGTAAATGTAATACACTTTCAACAAAAGAAAATAATTGCGATTGCACGGATATTGACCCTCACAAAATCTCAAACCAGTAAAACTGATATGAGTAATCATTCAAACTGATGCGGAGTACGAATGTTATTTAAAAAAAAAACAGGTGTGAGTGCAAAGTATTTTGATGTTACAATAGTACAAAAATCATTCGATGTTTTAATATCTAATCAGGTCAGTCATCACTGAGTACGAAAGTCCTTTATGTAACCATAATAAGTATGACTGCACTTGATCACCTAGTGACATATATATCCGTGACTTAGTACTACAGTAGTTTAAGGTGATAACTTTCACGCCTAAATCTCATTCATCATTAGATCACGCGGTTGGAACAATTGAGGACAGCCTATATATAACATAAAATGATTTTACTACTTAACCATGTAGGAGGATAGTTTTATAGGGTTCATAATGTTTAATAAGTTGAGATTTTTAATGAGCTGAGACTTTTTTTAGATACATTCTACGGCAGACTATACCACATATCCTCAGCTCTACTGATGAATACGTTCTTGGTGGTATACTGTGTGTACCTGATAGAACACCTCGACGAAGGTTTCGTTCACGTTTTTACTCTCCTCTAGTAGAGGTATCCGAGGCTAAGGTAAAAAGATGCCCTTTTCTACAATAGCATTGCTTTTCACAATTTTAAAAACTTGTTCGATACATGCCCGTGGTCTTTTATTCTCTTGGTAGCTGTTTAAACACAGACAGATATAACGTGTTAGATATGTCTCCGACACAACCACTCATGTGTTGACTGAATTTAAGCTTATGACAGAAAGGAGCATCAAGTTTTTTCCCGAACGATATTATTGTTGTTATTTTTTCGGGAATTTGAAATACACGTGATTTATAAATACAAATCTTTCTGATAGATAAGCTATGGGCATTCAATGGGCATACAATGATTGTATTGAAGAAATTCACCAGGGATGTCCTTTTTAGCTCTACTATTCCCTGACTGTAGTAGTTGATGGTTGTGTCATTTGTTCAGTTTATTTCGAAGAGGCAGTACTCTAAAGTAAAAAAAGGCAAGTGACTTTTGCAAAATTAACAAAATCGCTGCAAAAGCAGTGATTCAATGTTTGCATAAGAACGGTCTTGCACCTGAAGATATATTCATACTGATCATACAAAATGAACATAGCTAGAAAAAATAAATATTAAACAGCAAATTAAATGCGAACTGGATTCTCATATTACAAAGATAACGTTTTCGTCTAGTTGCGTTGATGAAGCAGAAGGCGCTTACTCTTCCGGAAAATCTTGGGTATTTTTGTTTTTTATTTCATGGTATCAAGTGTGTACGTTTAAATATATCTTTAGTTCTTTTTCCTCGGTTTCTGAAAAAACATCGATATTTTCGTGTTGTGTTTTATGTGTTAATAATCCGTTTGTTTATATTTTATCGACTTTGAAGCTCGAAATTCATGGAAACATTTTTCATTGCAGCAGGACAGAAACCACGAATAATGTGATATATCTGTCATCACTGTAACTGTTTAAGGCTGTGTGCTTGAGAACCGACATCTGGGACCGTAGGTGTATGACGTGCTCGATTACGGAGACTAAAGCTTATAGAACATGGGCACAATTGGGAACGTCATAATCATATCCAATATTTCGTTCTTTTTGTCTGTGTCTAATTTGGAATAAGGATGCAAAGAAAAGATACATTTAAGCACTCCATCAAAATTAAATCGTCTTCAAGCCTTTATAAAAACCATGAACATTTGAACTACATTTACAGAATACAATGGAGTGTTCTAAAACGATAGAAAATTTACAGTATATAACAATGGTTGTACATTTATAGTATATAACGGTGTATTCTACAATGGTTGTACATTAATAGTATATAACGGTGTATTCTACAATGGTTGTACATTTACAGTATATAACGGAGTATTCTACAATGGTTGTACATTTACAGTATATAACGGTGTATTCTACAATGGTTGTACATTTACAGTATATAACGGAGTATTCTACAATGGTTGTACATTTACAGTATATAACGGAGTATTCTACAATGGTTGTACATTTACAGTATATAACGGAGTATTCTACAATGGTTGTACATTTACAGTATATAACGGTGTATTCTACAATGGTTGTACATTTATAGTATATAACGGTGTATTCTACAATGCTAGTACATTTATAGTATATAACGGTGTATTCTACAATAGTAGTAGTACTTTTACAATATATAACGGTGTATTCTACAATGGTGGTACATTTATAGTATATAACGATGTATTCTACAATGGTTGTACATTTATAGTATATAACGGTGTATTCTACAATGCTAGTACATTTATAGTATATAACGGTGTATTCTACAATAGTAGTAGTACTTTTACAATATATAACGGTGTATTCTACAATGGTGGTACATTTATAGTATATAACGATGTATTCTACAATGCTAGTACATTTATAGTATATAACGGTGTATTCTACAATAGTAGTACATTTACAGTATTTAACGGTGTATTCTACAATAGTAGTAGTACTTTTACAATATATAACGGTGTATTCTACAATGGTTGTACATTTATAGTATAAAACGGTGTATTCTACAATAGTAGTACATTTACAGTATTTAACTGTGTATTCTACAATAGTAGTACATTTATAGTATATAACGGTGTATTCTACAATGGTTGTACATTGATAGTATATAACGGTGTATTCTACAATGGTTGTACATTTATAGTATATAACGGTATATTCTACAATGGTTGTACATTTATAGTATATAACGGTGTATTCTACAATAGTAGTAGTACTTTTACAGTATATAACGGTGTATTCTACAATGGTTGTACATTTACAGTATATAACGGTGTATTCTACAATGGTAGTAGTACATTTACAGTATATAACGGTGTATTCTACAATGGTAGTAGTACTTTTACAGTATATAACGGTGTATTCTACAATGGTTGTACATTTATAGTATATAACGGTGTATTCTACAATGGTTGTACATTTACAGTATATAACGGTGTATTCTACAATGGTTGTACATTTATAGTATATAACGGTGTATTCTACAATAGTAGTAGTACTTTTACAGTGTATAACGGTGTATTCTACAATGGTTGTACATTTACAGTATATAACGGTGTATTCTACAATGGTTGTACATTTACAGTATTTAACGGTGTATTCTACAATAGTAGTACATTTACAGTATATAACGGTGTATTATACAATGGTTGTACATTTATAGTATATAACGGTGTATTCTACAATGGTAGTACATTTACAGTATATAACGGTGTATTCTACAACGAGAGTACATTTTTGTGTACAGGTATTCTCACCACAATTACTCTGCCGAGACTTACTTATACACGAAACACCTGATCTTTGTTTCCAGTTTAAATCATTGTCCTTTAGAGGATTTTACAAATGACGAAAATGAAGGAATACTCCAATTAACTTGTGTTTATTTATTTGATTATTTTTTTCCCTTTTTATCTTAAAAGACATGTCATTAAGGAATGAACTCATTGCATTGGAAAACATTGCACAACCACATCCGCAATTTACAGACAAAACCATAAGTCCTATCTGTTGGTCTTACCAATCGTACCGAGTGTCCGAGTGAAAATACCGCGATTGACATCTTTTATGTAGAGTCTCCAATGGACACTAGCATTAGTGATGGTCAGGGACAGCGAGTTTGACTAATTTAGCATCTCATAAACCTGGACTTATCAAGATCATAGACTATGGGATAAAATATTATTGGCATCGGCATGCTCCATGATTTTGCTGCCGTATTGAGGGTGGGTGCAATTTCTTCCGCCAACTTTTGGAGGGCTTTCGGTGTTTGGTTGTCAGGATTAGCTGCCTTGGTGGGTTCAAATTTTCCAGACGTTTAGTGATATCTTGGATTGTTATGGTGAAGTCAGTCATGGCAGGAGACTTTCTTCAAACAGAGAAGGAGTGAGTTTCTCAGATGTAGGAAAAAACGAACTGGAATTGACCTGGGTCATGTACAAGTATTTTTTTATTTTTTTTTAGAGAAAGATATTATATCAAAATCAGTTTTTTGTGTTTAATATAAGATTAGAATCTCTTCATAGTGCCCTAATCCGTGTTAGATATGGGAAGTGAAATTATTCCTTCTGAGTGCTGGCTGTACGTAAATAGACACAAGTAATTACTGAATATTGTGTGTTTTCAATTTCTAGTCGTGAATTATTTGCGTTCGGAGAAATATTTGTTTTTCCTTTTATCGACCATGTCGTATCGTCTGTCTGAATGATTATGTAATTTCACAGGTTAGGACAGAGTCAATAACATGCTTAAAATAGAAATCCGGTTTATTTCCTTTTAAAACGTTTCCAGTCGTAAACTCTTCACAAGTCTTTTACTCTGCAGTACTTACATGTCTGTTTGTTATGTCGCTTTTAAAACAAATATCAAATATGGCTGACATAGATTAATATTTCAGTGCAGACAGGACTTGGTTAATACATAATAATCGTTCTCAAAGTGAAGTGTGTAATTACTGCGATGAGTGTACACATGTATACACATGCTTTCTTTTTTAACAAGTATTCTGTGAGTATCGCTGCATGATGGAAGTTTCCCAAAATAACTGCCAAACGATCTCGCAAAAGCCGGTAGCTATTTTTAACAGCTCTCGCTTCAACCATGTCCACCTACTGGACAATCAAGCGCATGGTCAGTGTATTGGCCTTGAACTTGACCTTGATATTCTTAAAACCACTCTATGTACTCATGTTCAACTCAATAGTGACTGGATGATGAAATCAACGATACACGTGTATTTCTCACCTCGTTCATGTATATACCAACGACACATATGTCTTAGCGAGGGGTGATGCAATATTTTAGAGATATAGTTACCGGTAAACACTACCAGTCCAATTCATGTGAAGAACAAGGTATGTTTAACTTATTATATTAGTATTTTAAACCGTGTTATCATGTCCAGTGTTATCTTACAGAATCATCTACACACGTGAGTATTGTTACTACTACTGTACTACTACAAACAGATCATTGTGTTGTCCCGACCGGCCTGTGTATCTGGTGTTAGGATATATTTAACTTTCTTATGGTTAACATGTTCATGAGTTTACCACCACGATTTCTGTTATTTAATCAAAAGAAAGGGAGCTATCACAACATTCCGTACTGAACCGAAAGAACGGAGGGCTCTCATGACTCGACACGATGTTTCTAACAAATAACAATGTAGGATCTTAACATTAGTATTTATAATTGACAACTAACGCTAAGTAACACAACTTCCGAGTACCCCCTGTAAACAAACCCTATAGTATATAACGTAATAATATTTAACTATGACAGTAATTAACAAGGCCCGAAAACGAAAGCGGATCAAATATACAGGACACGAGTCGAAAATTGTCTCCCTTCGTAAATTACGTGACAATTTATATATAACAGCAACTTATATATATATATACGAGAGAGAGAGAGAGAGAGAGAGAGAGAGAGAGAGAGAGAGAGAGAGAGAGAGAGAGAGAGAGAGATTAACAACGCCTTTTGAAAAAGTTTAGGATAAGCACAAAATACTGTGGTAGGCAGGACAAGTTCCGAAAACAAGAAATATTCTTTCGGTAACATGGTTTATTTCAGTGTAGACTTATAACTGTACGACTTTACTGACGTCCAACCGTATAATAACCCAGTATGACGAAGAAAATCGTTGTATATACATTTAATTAAATACAGACTTTAAATATTGATAACGTAGAACAATTAAAAATAAATCTTTTTGCCTTTATTGAAGGATATTCTACATTATTTTACCATTGAAATTCTGAATTACCTAGCAGTGGGAAGATATCAAAATGTTTGACTTAGCTTTTACTACCAGAATTCCATCTGTATTTTTTTTAAAACAGATGTACGTATGCCGGTCATTCATTAAGTAAAAAAGTATATATGTAGTTATGAGTAGTTCACACCATTTTCCTTATTTGATTCTATATAATTTACGTTGAAGAATTATCATAACCTCACTTCCTAAATTTCTGTATAAAATTTATATACAACTAGTGTAAAGTAAATTTCAATTATTATCCCGTAAACATGTCTGTTTTTGTTCTTATATAATGATAAATTCAATAAACTCAAGTCGATAAAATTCGCAATAAATGATAAAAAAACTAATTAAAAAATTTCCCGTCAACGGGTTTATGAACATTGCCACAAAAGGAATATAGATATATATAATTGGTTGAAAAAATTGAAAATTGAAAATATATTGAATAATAGTTGGGATCACTAGGAGTAAATATCGCACCAGATATGTTAATTGACGAATCATTTCAAATACTTAAATCGCATGGATGATAGCGTGCAAAGTGTATGTAAAGTGAAAGTGAGTTTATATATATATATATATATGTGTGTGTGTGTGTATGTGTATATATATATATATATATATATATATCATTGTAATAGTGTGAACAGATAAGTTCCTGCTTCATCAATACATTTTTATTGTTATAGGGTAATGACTCCGCATAAGTTGCTCGATTTTGTTCAGATCCCCCCCCACCCCCCCCCCCCTCCAAGTCAATTAGACATAATTGATGGAAAATGAGAATGATTTTAAGAAACGTGAGAAAACCACGTAATATTTAGTGTCCAGTTTGCGACCCCAAAGGAAGCGTTACAGAAAATAGACGTAAGGTGTATGTTCTGAGCACATCGAGATTTAAAGTTTCTAAACTGTCAACATTGGAATTCGACCAATCAACAATATATTGTCATTTTGTAATTTCCTCAAATTAACTAATGACTCTTTAGATACAGAGAAAGTCGACTGGCCCAGAGCCGATGATACTCCTTAAGGTCTTTCATATGATATATTATCAACATAATTGCATAAGTTATTGTGTTAAAGTAGGTCAAGATAAGACAACTAACACGGAAATCGTGATATAGGGACAAGACTCAGGTATGCCAAGTGAACTATGACGTGTAAAATAATAGATAGAGAAGTCAAGTTCACGTTTACAAGACAAACCAACTCACAAACATCATAAAAACTTTTAAGTATCCCATTCTGTCGCTCAGTCGATCGATATATGATTATGTAGAGTCTGTTGTAGCCTCAATTTTAGGTTCAAAAGGGCATACATAACAGACGTGGTCAATAAAATTCATGTTATTAAACACAATTCATCATGATGTATCCGAAAGTGACATTAAATGACTTTGTATGACCATGTGCTTTTATCTGTGGACACAACTTCTAAATCCTGCTAATAATACATTGTTTGTTTATAAGAACCTGTATTCTGACATGTCCCAGGTAAACAGAAAAAACTACATCCTTGATGATTCAGAAAAAGCTGCTAGAGACACAGGACCATGTAACCGTCAATGTTTCTGGGAGAGGGGACTTGTGTAGTATATCTTAATCATAAGAAATACAAGTCCCTATTTTCATTATCATTGTTATATCCTCCCCTTTGGATAGAACCTGACGAACGATAAAATACGAACTAGCTATAGATAATAGTGAAGTTGATTAAAATGCCGAAACAAGAACACTGGTACTGTACTTTTGTGTATAAAAGTGGTTAACCAACGAAACTAGTAATTAATGACTAACCTTCCAATTCTAAACAGACCAAAGCGTCTAAGCAAAGTACACGAACAAAAGTAAAAAATATAACGAAACTAAAAAAGGTACATGGAATATGAAGGATGAATTTAAATCGCAAAATGTTGATAAATAAGATATTTAAAAAAAAAGGAAGAAAATACCAACATGCCAACAGAAACAAGAATCATAATCCAAACTCAAATTCAATAAAGACTCCAGAAAAGGAGAATAAGACCAGTTGTCATGACAGGAAGGCACGATGCCATTACGCAAGCTACACACAGGCCAAGAAACAGAGCTGATAAGCAAGTGGCAAAGAAAGTTGATGGGGACGGGGAAATGCAACTATCGTAAAGCGGTCGTACAAACTGTAGGGGGAGGGGGGGGGGCGTCATATATTTAACAAGGTATCCCCAAAAGTGGATGCATATTTATCTTTCAGCAGTATTCTTCAAGACTCATTGATGTGTTTGTAAAACTTGATAGTGTGCATATCTACTCAAACAGAACGCACAGAAAAGTCGCCATTGTATATATATATAATATAATTTGGTATTTAGATATCTCATGGTCATTTTTAAGACATCTTAGATCAAGTGCATGTAACTGTCATATTTAAATGATTGTGTCTAATTAGTTATCAATATTTATCTATAACAATATGGAAAACCTTTAATAGTTATATGATGTTTGTGATATGGTTAATATTATTCCTAAAAGAGCCCAATAAACCACAGGCACTCGAGGCCAGGATATTATTTTTTAAACATTGATTTTTGTTTTAGCACTCATGACTGACGTTATTTAAACGAAATATCAGCAGAATTCAAGTTTATGTGCCGGTTGACAAATCCGAGGTCCACGGTCATTAAAAATACACAAGGCAAGCAACTCCAGATTTTAAAAAATCGACCCCTCGCTTGGAAACTGGCTCAAAAAAGTAGTTATGATAAGTTCCTTGTAAAACAATATGTATCCGTAGGTAGTGTGTATATTTACCTTTTATTTGGTGCATAACATTACAGGCAACGAGAAATTCACAATACGTACATGAGATTAACATCTCAATAACCGGAGATTTTATCGTCCATGTAATTATCTTTGACGGAAGTAACATGCCATTTCAAGGGCGGTCACTCCGACTTTTTGGGAGAGGAGTTCTGGATAGCACTATACCAGTGAACAGGTAAGAAAGGTTCCGATGTCATTACGCGCGTAACTTCAAAATAGATATTTTTATTTCTACAAATACATTTGCGGGGATGGAAAAATAATGGCTGGGCAAAGAAAGTCCACATTTGCCAACTCGGATACAATATCATGGTAAGGGATTATACAGAATGCATCAACTTTCAATCAAGCTGGCGGTAATGAGAATTTTTTTTCAAAAAAAAAAAAAATAGAAAAAAAATCATGCAGATAATGAAAAAAGGGCGCAATTTATGAAAAATATCGTGGGGGAAATATATTAACTTAGAAATTGGAAATTAAATGATTTTTTCCATAGTGATTTTTGTCAAGTTATTGAGAATATTTGAAAAGAGGCGCAATTTATGAAAAATATCGTTCCTTAGATAAAGCCCTACACCGTTTGCAGCAAAAAAAAAAAAAAAAAAAATACATTGACTTTTATTCAAGGTCACTTTGGTCCAATGTGTTGATTTTTTAAACAACTTATTCCGATTAACCAAAAGTCCAGGGATCATGATGTTTGTTAAAATGTTTCTTGGGTGAAGGGCAACAAAGTTTGAGAAAAGATATTACTTTGACATTATATTCAAGGTCATGGATAAACCCTTAATTAACATCTTCTGATAACCAAAAAGGCCTTGGGTCATGATATTTGGTCAGGAAGTCCATTGTATGGATGTTTGCCAAAACATACAGTACCTGTAGCAATACAAGCCCTTTGGGCCTCTTGGTTAATAAGTAATATGTATTTCTTTTCAAATATTCTCAATAACTTGACAAAAATCACTATGGAAAAAATCATTTAATTTCCAATTTCTAAGTTAATATATTTCCCCCACGATATTTTTCATAAATTGCGCCCTTTTTTCATTATCTGCATGATTTTTTTTCTATTTTTTTTTTGAAAAAAAATTCTCATTACCGCCAGCTTGATTGAAAGTTGATGCATTCTGTATAATCCCTTACCATGATATTGTATCCGAGTTGGCAAATGTGGACTTTCTTTGCCCAGCCATTATTTTTCCATCCCCGCAAATGTATTTGTAGAAATAAAAATATCTATTTTGAAGTTACGCGCGTAATGACATCGGAACCTTTCTTACCTGTTCACTGGTATAGTGCTATCCAGAACTCCTCTCCCAAAAAGTCGGAGTGACCGCCCTTGAAATGGCATGTTACTTCCGTCAAAGATAATTACATGGACGATAAAATCTCCGGTTATTGAGATGTTAATCTCATGTACGTATTGTGAATTTCTCGTTGCCTGTAATGTTATGCACCAAATAAAAGGTAAATATACACACTACCTACGGATACATATTGTTTTACAAGGAACTTATCATAACTACTTTTTTGAGCCAGTTTCCAAGCGAGGGGTCGATTTTTTAAAATCTGGAGTTGCTTGCCTTGTGTATTTTTAATGACCGTGGACCTCGGATTTGTCAACCGGCACATAAACTTGAATTCTGCTGATATTTCGTTTAAATAACGTCAGTTATGAGTGCTAAAACAAAAATCAATGTTTAAAAAATAATGTCCTGGCCTCGAGTGCCTGTGCAATAAACTAGTCTTTTTACAATATACTTATACAACAAACGTGTTGTCAAGGATTCTGCGGGCGACATAACGGCCGGTGTCACGTGGTGAACAGGAACCCTTTCTCTACTTCTTCTTCCAGGCCACTCGCCTTCACTCTTATTTTCTTCTTTAAATTCATCGTCACATTCTGTTGTCGAGTTAATAATTATATCGACACCTAATAACGAGTGCTTAAGATTTCGTTCTTGTGAAATATAATCTCCATTGACCAGAAAAAATATCACCACGCAATAAAACTTGCTCATAAACTTAATGTGTTTCGCCGTTACCTTTTTATCAAAATAAATCTTATCAGTTGCTTTGTTTGGTTCCGTTAAGTATTTTTGAAAAACACATGCATGATTGGTCGTAATAGATAGGACATGTATCTCGATTTTAGATTACAAGCTTTTCAGTTATTGGAGTATATCATATTGTTCTATTGGGACAAATACATAACAGTAAATAAAAAATTGATATCAACATTTCATGGCTTAATGTCTAATTCAGCATATTTAAAATAAGGACAATTTTCTAGTTATATTTGACATGCACTTTGCACACCGACTGCGTTCATGTTAAACTAACATTTGATGTATGATATACGTTTTGATAACTTGTTTAATTGTATTTGTTTAAATGTGTTTTATACAAGCTGTTATACAAGTCATTATACAAGCTATCTGTATATTTCATGCAAGAATACCACAAAATGCCTATATAAGTAGTTTTGAGGGCTTACATGTACGACAAATATTTTTGTTCTGTTTGAACGTAACACTTACACGCACGCACGCACGCATTAGGGATTATCGAGACACCTAAATTTACACTAACATTTTCGATTTTAGTCTAAACATTGTATTTGTTTTATGTTCTATATATGTGATGTAATTTATGTAATATCTGTGTCTTGATAAAAGGGCAGATTACCTCGAAAAAAAAGACAAATCACAAATCACTGCTGTCCACACACACCCCCCCCCCCCCCCCCCCCCCCCCCCCAAAAAAAAAAAAAAAACACACACACACACAAAGCGCTAATGCTTAATTCGATGTGTAGTTTTAAGTTATTCTAATATAAATACGTATATAAATATATACATCTAGTCTCCTAGCATTTGCCCTCTCGTTATCTTCGATATACCGTTATGCAAGTAACAAAGATATGATACTGAAATGTTACTATGTCAGTGTACTCTATATATACTATCTTTTATAAATATATGACACAGTGGGGAGAATACATGTATTGCAGTGTCTTAACTGCTTAACTGACACGTAAATAACCAGTTATAATTATGGTTATTGGTCAGGAGATAGTACCTATACAACCAGGCAAACTCTATTATAAAATACAATCTATTGCAAACATTATCATATATAAGATATTTTCTTGATGAAAAGGTATGTATATTAAAGCACAGATAAGTCTCTTGTTGAACTGGACAACATTCAAGTCTTTAAAAAGCAGGTAAATCATCAAATCATGACAGAAATTTAATCGCCCACTTCAGAAATCAGGTGATAGATTAATCAATCACACTAACCTCAATCCAGATTTATATTATCACCTAGCACGTGAAGTGAGCATGGACACTGGTATTTTCACGACAAAGTCTATTGGTCGTTTTGAAGTGTCCGCATTTGTGGTCAGTTTCAAAATATCTGTACTCAGAACCAGTGGGTTACTTATGGGATGTTATCCAGCAGAGGATTCCGTTTAAAAAAGGAAATAGATAAGGTATAGATACGAAACATGTTGTAGACAACAGTAAACGACGAAAAGCAATTTAATGAAACATTGATTTTAATTTCATAAGCAATTTGAAATAACCTTTACCAAAGTCGAATTTCTCTTATCGCGGTTTACAGATAGTCAAACTTGCCGTCATTTGTTCAAGCAAACTGTCAGCTTAATGAAAAGTTTAAAAATTAGTACATCCACTTATTAAATGACGCATATATTTTTGTTTATTTGTTGTGAAATGCAATAAATTTAAGTATATATTATCATCGTTATAGAAATGTAAACATTTAGAAAAAATAGCCTTATTTATAGAAAGTTTTATCTCGGGAACAGTGCTTTAAATAGACGGAGACATCCTTCTAGATTAAATACTCAGTATGTGTGGGATACGAAGTCTAACGAATTGTCCTAACATACAGCTATGCCATGCTCAGATTGGTGTCGTGGACGCTGTGGCACACTAGCTAGCTTCAGTCTCTCAGAAGCTGGTGATAGGTAAGTCACGCACAGCTGTTGTACCTCACGTTGTTATACTGTAATGTGCATGCTTCATTGCGTTATCACATAATATTTTTTTAACAAGAACGATTATAATTTAATTGCGTGTGTTGATAGCGTAATGAGTAGACTCATTCTACACCCACTTCAATGCTACGTTTATCATATTATACGTTAGGCATTCAATCTATCCTTGGTCAAGGTAACGTGCGTGTTGTGGCCTGGGATCACTTGACGGATGACAACAGGTTACACAGCTGATAACGAAAGCAGTGTTGAGAACTCGGGGTTAGGATAAGATGGTGGTTCGGAGAGGATAAAGTTGTCACTGAAGGGGCAACGATGTGATTGGGTAACATTGTTTGCTTACGTTACAGAAATATTGTGATCCAGATACCAACATTGTCTGTGTTAAGGTGACCTTAAACATAGGCAATGAGGTCAGAGTAACATTGAAATTAATTTAGCAGGGTAAAATTGTTATGTCATAATAGGGTTAATTGTGATCATACTAGAGTAACATTCTATTCATACTAGGATAACATTAAATGATTACAGAAGAGCAAGTAAGACAATGATAAGGTAATATTCTGTGCTTATGATAGAATCACGATGTGCGATTATAGTTGATTTACATTGTGATAATTATTGAGTGATATCGTGTGTTTATGCTTGGATAACATGGTGTAATAATAGTAGAGTAACGTAGAGATCTAGAGTGTGGTTATGTCAGGGTAACGTTCTATGGTGATAGTAGAATGATGTGAGATCATGATTGATTGACATATTTGTTTGTGATAGGATCATACTGTGTAATTACAAATATTGTTATCATAGTAGAGTAACATTTTGAGCATGGTAGGGTAACATCACGTGTTTATACTAGAGTAACATTGTGTGATGACAGTAGAGTAACATTTTGAGCATGGTAGGGTAACATAACGTGTTTATACTAGAGTAACATTGTGTGATGATAGTAGAGTAACATAACGTGCTTATACTAGAGTAACATTGTGTGATGACAGTAGAGTAACATTTTGAGCATGGTAAGGTAACATAACGTGTTTATACTAGAGTTACATAATGTGTTTATACTAGAGTAACATTGTGTGATGATACTAGAGTAACATTTTGAGCATGGTAAGGTAACATAACGTGTTTATACTAGAGTAACATTGTGTGATGATAGTAGAGTAACATTTTGAGCATGGTAAGGTAACAACGTGTTTATACTAGAGTAACATTGTCTCATGATAGTAGAGTAACAGGGTTACATTTTTATTATGGTAGGGTTACACCATGTGCGCGTGTTTGGGTAACATTTTGTTATGGTAGCAGAGTAATACTGTGATCACAATAGGGTAACATTGTGTGATGATAGTATATTTACATTGTGATCATGTTAGGGTAACATTGTGAGTTTATACTAGATTAATATAGTATGATGATAGTAGGATAAGAGAGTGATCATGGCTGGGTAACATTGTGGTAAGATAGGGTAACACTAATGAAACGATGCTTTGAATATGATGATCAGCTTTCATAATCAATTGTGTTTGGGCATCATTATTTGTATTAAGGATAGGAATTCCGCATGACTTGAGGACCAATAATTACGAGAAATGAATTATTACTCTTCCACTTCATGTGTTGTATTTGGTAAGTAACAGCTGAGTACTCTTTATTTTAAGGGTAGCGGAGGTGATACATGACAGAAATATCAATCTTGACTATCTCTCGTATGTTATCAGTATTTTTTACTAATTCACAGGATAAATGATCTACGTTGACCAAGTACAAATCCAAGATGCCCCTGATGACAAACGGAGACGCTCACAATGGGAAGATATCAAACGGTCTCTCAGAGTCGGAAAGTCTGACAGCAAAAACCAACAAGAATGTGAGACTGAAGAAACAGATAAGCCTTTTTCAGGCTGTGTGTATTATTGTAGGAATTATCATAGGCTCGGGGATATTTGTATCCCCGGTAGGGATTTTACAGAATGTGAAATCCGTAGGCATGTCATGTGTAATGTGGACAGTGACAGGTGTGTTCTCGGCGCTTTGCGCCTTATGTTTTGCTGAGCTAGGCGCATGCATTCCAAAGTCGGGAGGCGAATACACTTATATTCGTGAAGCATTCGGAGATTTCTTTGCTTTTTTAGCCTTGTGGATTAATTTCATAATAATTTGTCCAGTTTGTGTGGCAGCATCCTGTCTCATTTTCGCAACATATATCCTAAAGCCAGTATATTCTGACTGTGATCCACCGTTCATTGCTGTTCGTCTCATCGCAGCCCTTATCATAGGTACGTATCAGATGTTAAAATTAATTATGTTTTCGTGATTTTTTGTATTTGGTTATATATTAAATGTGTCCTTAATCTGAAACGGAGTCGGATTACCCAACCATTTATATTTTGACATTTGTCTACATCTTTTTCGTAACTTGCCTTTGGCATTTTCACACTTTTTGATCCTGTCGCCATTGACGAAATCCGTCTAAAAGGATGCAGTTTCAAAGTTTGTAGTTGGCATTAAATGTATATATCATTTAACTCTCATTTACAGGTTTATCCCTTTGTCTTCTACGAGCCTTTCTCGGTTATTTCTTTCAATACACTCATTTTACGCTTCAAGTAATGATTGTTTTTGCTTAGCTTTGTCCTCTTAAATGAACTGCAGTACTGAGCTTTGTCCGCTTAAATGAACTGCAATATTCAGAAAATGGCAATTCCGATTTTAATCGTTAAACAAGAACACGTGTATTTACCGAGGTATTCAGTTTAGTAAAACTAATACTATACATTGTTGTACTCGAAAACGAACCAATGAATATCAGATAATACAAGTTCTGGTTCTGAAAACTTTTACTCATCAAAGAAAACAATTCAAACTCGTTTTTGATAGATTTATTATAAGTATGTAATTCATGATATTTTCTTTCATGAGTTTTAAACATATATTCTAATTTGTTCCGCTGTCGTCTTGTGAATGATCAAATTTTATTGATATTAAATTTGATTTGCGGGCCAATTTATTATTAGATGATAGAATTTAGACTCTGAATTTTTCCGCTTGCCTTTTGTGATGTCGCTACCACATGTTTGATCACAAAAGAATTTACATTCCAATTTGTTCATTTTCCTTTTATGATATAAGAGAGAGAGAGCGAGTTTCTCACACTCAAAAGCAATTGACATCTTAGTGGAATTTCTTTTCACTGTTTATCTCAAAATAGAGTTGCGTGTAGAAAGATAAATCTTTAGTTAAATCTTCGCAAGAAAGAGTAATATGTTGATATTCATCCGACGATTTGAATGAAACTGACATTCACAATGGGAAACTGATTTTTTTTTTTGTAAACACCATGCTAATGAATCAATCGTTAAATACCATTGCCAATACTGCAGAAATTGTTGTTCTGTCGGGTCACAATGATTTCGAAGCACTGCGAAATCTTGTAATTTCTATCATGAATTTGAGCATTATTTTTTACAAGCAGAGTATAAACGTCACGTGCTAAAAGCATAGGTTTTATACACCTTAGTGCGTTAATTATTACATTTGACAGGCAGATGTATTGATGGCTATCATTAAATACATAGAACTCTTCGTCATTAAATATCATATTGATTTCTATAGAGACAGCGGCAATGTCTGCGCCATTAGGACTGTCACTGTTGGTAACGAAAATTTTCCATGTTTTAAATAACATTGTGAAAAGGAAGAGGTTATAGAGAGAGAGACAGAGAGGGAGACACAGAGAGAGAGATTCATGAAATGTCATTTACCACCAATATAAATGACCCAGGTCTACAGATAATCTTTTTTGCCTTGGACAATAAATTAAGACATCTCAATGAATAGGTATTCACACGAGCTTTAAAACTGATATTTTTATATGACCTTTTGCAAAATACTTTCCTCTTTGTCATATTATACTTTTAAGGGTGAAAACAAAATTGAAATTCATATTTTGATTCCTCATTACTGAAAATATTTCTTTATCATGAAGTAACTTTTTGCGGATGTGATAACACAGTTTATCAGCTAATAGACTGTCTACGACAATGTTACGAAATCCTCGAGATTTGATAAAGTAGAGTTTTATTATCTATTAGTGCTTGCCAACCCTACGTTGTTGACAGTGGAGGTCAAAGTCACCATACATATGTAGCTGATTATATACTATTCAAGTCTTTATGTAACAGCTATCGTAATGTCACTGTAAACATGATATCTCATTCAGTCTATACTTTTCGTGCTTCTCCTTGACATACTTAAAATCTAGTACAGTAAGCAGAAATGTACGTGACTGCGTTATCTTCCTCCAAAGTAATGTGTTATGTAATGCAATTACAGCATATACGTCATTTTGCATGAACTAATTGAGAATATGATTTCACTTTTTATGAACCTAGATATTTTTTTCACAATGTTTCATTTCATAAAGAAAAGATCAATTTATTGTCTCTATCTCATATGTCAAAGCATTCAAAAAATAAGAATTCAGAAGACAATCTTACAACTTTTAGTGTCAAACGAAATAATGAAAAAGTGGATTAATATCTCATCCTTAAGTAAAATGTGTATGACACTGGATTTATATTGTTTTGTAGAAGACTTAAAGTGTTACAAAACTAATCCGACTGTAGTTAGGTATATAATTCATGAAACGAGTCATTTCAAGCTCGCGAAAGTGAAAATTCTTAGACATTCACAATCAAATGGAAATATGAATTATACCATATCACAGTAAAACGAGCATCTCAACCTTCTATATGTTTCCAATAAACCTATTCATAACAATTATATCTAAATGATGAATGCGTTATTCAAGAAAAAGGCGTGATTAAAACGTACTTTGGTTTATACTATTCTTCGTCAAATCATTTCATTGTTGGCTGTTGACCTTTGTATTACAATGTTGTTAAACAATGTTATTTGTGTAATAATGTTTAAGTAACAATGTGGTAAAATTATTCTCTGAAGTAATGTTATGTATTGTGTAATATTACTAGTGATTAGTATTATAATGTATGCAGATGAAATTATTATGCTGTATGACATTGTTTATCTTATTTATTTGTTAAACAGCATTGCTGATCTCCATCAATTGTATCAATGTAAGATGGGCTGCAAAGGTACAAGTTGGCATTACTATATGTAAACTCGTCGCACTCGCCACCATCGTCGTCATCGGATTCGTCTACCTAGGGAAAGGCAAGTTCCTCCGATTTAAATTTGTTTTTTCAATTGAGATATTTAAAATAATTGAAATAAATGATCGGTTTGATTTTACATGATATACAAAGGAGTGGGATATGAAGTAATGAATGAGTAAACGATGATCTTTCATTGTGAAGTTATTTTGTTATTACGGCCGCCTTTTGACCGCCGTCATGCTTCGTAAATTTTTGACACCTCTCGAAAAACCGAAACCTATTTCAATGAATCTTACAGAAATATTCCATGACCAAAGCTAAATCAAAATTATATATTATATGGTCCCCGGGAGGCTTCAAGTGCGAGTCCAGAAGGAGTAAAATTTGATCAGATTTTCAATTTTTAATCACCATTAATAATAAATTCAAATGTTTTCATAGATGGTTCTTAATGTGTTTTTGCAAAATCATAAATTTCATGAACCAAGGGTCTCACATTTCCCGTGAGGAGGGGGTACACTTTACAATGGTTTATGTAGGGAAAATGCATTTTTGTGCATATCGATTTATTTTAATTCAATTGTGGTTAGAAATACGAATGCATTGTTACTCAAGAAACCGTTAAGGCCATTGGACCTGCTTTACTATTTCTTTAAAAGACAAGGTTCACAAATATTTTTACGTGCATGTACCAGTCAATGTATATCAACCACAATGAATTGAGCTTGAATTTATAAGAAATATTCTACATCCACTACATATGGCGTAAAGTATCCAAATTTCCACTTTTATCTGTCTACAATAAGACAAAGATTGGCGGTTTTTATTTTGAAAAATTCATTTAAGAACAGAAAAAAATGCTTAAAAGACTCTCAGTCAGCGGGATAAGACATCAGAAAATTAAAATTTATTTAAGGACGTCTTTAATATAAGCCCACGTTGAATTAGGTATCATGTTGTGATGTTTACCGAATTTTACAATAAAGTATGATCTGTAAATTGTTCACGTGGGCATCCTTGCCATTTAAAGGATTACAAAGTTTATACAGGAAGGAACTTCTTTTACTGAAGACACTTCAAATGAATATATAAATATATGATAGCACGAAGAAATAAATAAACTCGGCAAAGAAAATAAAGATAGGGATGGTGTTATCTTTAGAACAGACGTGCAGTACCGTAAAAGGAAATTACTTTGTCTGTGGTGGGGAATTTATATAATCTGCACCATATCTAGCTAATTTCCTAGGGTGTCTGTTTGAAAGGTTAAGTGACCATTCATCAAAGGGGTTTACATTTTATTAACGTTCTCATAATGTACACCTGTCACGCACGATCATCTCGAGGGACGTTGACGAGATTTCAATTACTGATCAAGTAGAACGTACGAATGTATTGCTTCTTAATGTCGGCTTGTTTGTGTCATCAACGCTGTACAAAACTGTCGAGATTAATGAAATTGTTCTACTCGATCGCAAATTGTCGCACGAAAATCAATGGCTGCTCGCTAGTGATAAGCTAAGAGTGTGGTTGATAACGTCTTCTAAGATCTGGTTGGTATTCAAGTACACTTCACGCAATTATCGTCGGTACATTTTGTGTTATTACGTGTATGATAATGGAATCACACAGAAAAGTATATCGTTGGTGTTGCCAATTACTATGTTCCATCAACAAGCTATTTGAATCAAATCACCACGAGGTTTTAAGATGTTTTGACTGAGGTTCCCCATAATAAAACGTGAAAGCAATTTTTATATTGCAATTCATACATATCATCTCAGATACCGTTCGGTAAACACCATTCTCAACTCCTTTGTACCACAAATCTTATGTAAAGCTTGAAGGAACATTGCAAAACCTCCCATTGAACATTCCAGTTGATATTTTGTTGTTTTCCTTCCCAACATTTTTGCACGTTAAATCTTTTTCATCGTTTCATCGATTTAAGGTTTGAGAATGTTTTTCTTCAAATCGTTGTATTTTCTCATTGTTTTTTAAAACCGACATTGTCAACGTTGTTTTAATCGAACACGATATTCAACTTTCAGGTAAGGTGGAAAACTTCAAAGATTCCTTCGCTGATAGCGACTATAGTGCAGGGGCTGTTGCAATATCGTTTTACTCAGGATTTTGGGCATTTGGAGGATGGTATGACATTACACATACGAAATTATATATCTGAAATATACCATGAACATCTTGTAGTTAATTTGATCAGCAATTATTGATTATCGGATGTGATAAATCAGATAAATTGATTTCTGAATTTAGGAAAACCTGCACCAGCGATATATTTCAGGAGCATTGAAAGGTAAAATTACCTACATAAGAACAATTTGATACACTTTCTTCAATCTGCCTGCTCACCTTCCACATGAACTTATCAGGTAATTCTCGTTATAATTGGTTCTGAGTCTGGTATATTTCTATTCACAGGAGCTATCTTAACTTCCTCACCGACGAATTGATTGAACCACACAGGTAAATTGTTTTCAATTATTTTTTCAGTATCTACACATCTCTCCTGTTTCATCACAGCGTAATGTTAATGACGTCATAGATTTGTGTTGTTTAATTGATGGGTCAATCGTGGTTGTACAGATTGGTTTGTCTTGTTGATGCCATTTATTTCCTTCTTAGCAAATTACTATGGAAACGCTTCCGTATAACCAACAATGTCTATTATCCAGGATAAAACGTTAAGCAAAACAAGATTTCAGCGATAGATATAAGCTTGCAGTTTTAGAACAGTTGTATTAAATCGACTCTAAAATATCCTTCAGGTGGATATTTGGATCATGTACCTTCATTTACTGTTTCAGTTGTTGGTTTTCTTCGTTACAAAGTGATATTGAAACGACATTACATGATTTTTTAAAATGAATTTTTGTTTGAAGAAATTTACCACGGGCAATCATTATTTCCATGGCGATCGTGACGTCAGTATATTTGGTGGCAAATATAGCTTACTTCGCTGTTCTCACTCCTATGGAGATGCTTCAATCTACGGCAGTCGCTGTGGTAGGTTATGAATTTATGTATACTTTGATTACAGAATAAAACGGACACTCGCGATAGGCAATATTTTCCGAAAAAAAAAATTTGTCTTTCTAGTGGCGTCAGAGTACAACACACCTCCTATATCAAAGCATGTTTCTGTTCACAATTACCAGTATCGGTAATCGATATGGCCGGATCATCAGAATGATATATTTCTATCAAGTAGGATATCTATAAGCCTTTTTCTGTATTAAAGCCTTGTAAACTTTAGTAAATTGTAATTGATGGTTTCCACGAGGAACATATTGGTCTAACGATATTACAAATGTATTGATTGATGTCATATGTACTGTACCAATCTAAATACATGTTATTAGAGTATCACCATTTCTTCGTAACGTCACAAGTACTACCTTATCAATAGTGGCCATAAGGGGAACATTTTTATGAAACCTCATGATATAAGTACTTCTTTTGTGCAACCTTGCAACAAATATTGAAAAAAAAAACCAACCCAAAGCAATAATATTATCAAACAATTATAGTAAATTCGAAAAATTTAAACCTAACATTGTAATATATATCAACATTGCAATATATATCACTTCGTTACTAACTTTAATAGACAAGTGCATTATGCATGTACGATGAGTTGTGTTAAACATATATGGTATGTTTTACATTTAAGCGCCAAAAGGTGTTACTTGTCTAAATTTGTAAACTTGGCATATTTCTACGTTTTCACACACACACACACACACACACACACACACACACACACACACACACACACACACACACACACACACACACACACACACACACACACACACACACACACACACACACATATATATATATAAATTGTATATCATCAATGTACACAATTTTCAGACGTTTTCTGAAATGACGGTTCCAGTGATGGCAGTGGTTGTCCCTGTACTGATAGCTATCTCAGTAGCAGGGTCCATGAACGGTACCAGTCTTTCTATGTCAAGGTAAAAAAACTTATCCGATATCCGATGAATTGTGTTTAACATTTATACAAAATTGAAATTATGTTCTCCACAGCGAATTGTATCACTTTCAAATAATCATATACAAAATATATTCATTATCAGCAACATCAATATATCGAAGAGAAAATTCTGACGACAAGCTATAATACTCTTGACACTTGTTTTATATCCAAATACATGTTTGTATTATTATCATTATATATGACTTTGCTTATTGCATGGAGGGACCCCGGCGTATTCTGAGTTTCATCAGCTTCGGCGGTCGAAACAGCTATTTCTGCTAGACATATTGAAGTCACACAATGACTTACATAGCATTGCTTCTGTAGTCGTCTTTAATATAGTATAACTGAATATTGCGAAGCAATTTCTCACAAAATGTGGAATTTTATTTTTTTCTTGTCAACTTTTTACTTTCTTTCATCAAAACCTTCTTTGTTTGTGCCACTGAACTGAGATGTTGTTTCATATTGATGAACTTATCTCATTTTTTGTCTTCCATCAGATTATTCTTTGTCGGTGCCAGTAATAATCACCTCCCCAGTATAGTCGCCATGATAAATTACAAGTTTCTGACACCAGCCCCGTCTCTGATCACCATTGTAAGTCAATTATACACGATAATTTATATACAATGTTCATATTTCTGTAAACTAAGTTTATGTAACATATGTTTTAAATTTGTATTCTATAAGCTGACATGCTTTGAAATGCTGTTTAACTTCTAACGTTTGTTCAAAGTAAATAGTGATAACGAAGATATTGTGCTGCATAATTTTATAAACCTCGAGCCATACTTGTTAATGCCTACTTAAAATAGATTTTCTATAAACTTTATCAAGATTCCAAAGCATGGTAGAAATTACCGGTTCAGTCTTCATATATCTTTTCTGTTTCCATAAAAGTAAATTCCATTAATTGTATTTTTAGTTGACAGCTAAATTCCATGTTTCACCCACGTAGAAGGAAATTGTACGAGAGCAATGAAAATAGAATGAAATCGATGTCGGTCTGTTATTGATGCTTCCGTATTTACCTACACAGCTCGTGTTGACACTACTAATGCAGAGTCTTGGAGATGTCTTCTATCTGATTGAGATGATGGGCTTTAGCTTTACCACCGTACTGGCGTTCGTCTTCGCAGGTCAGATCTACATGAGGATCACAAAGCCTGACATGCCAAGACCTATCAAGGTAAAAAAAAATGAACGTTCAATAATTCAAGTCGAGGTTGTGACGTCAAAGCGCGTGATACTTAAAATAAACTCTTTTGTTTAATATAGATACAGAGTCATGGCTGAGATCAAAGAAAAAGCTTCATTATGTTTAAGATGCATTCAAGTCCTGTCTGTTCTGTATACAACAGGGGCAATTTAATTTCTACAATTTAAAAAAAGTTCTGCTTTGATCTCAAATGTTTATTTCCTGCAGTATTATAACACAATGCTCAGGCATACAAATAAAAGAGGATTTGATCATAAAACAGTGCGAAACGATTAAGTGTATTCAAAGCAAAAGGAAAGACAACATTAATCTTAGTAACGTTAAAAAGAGATTGTGGGTTGTTATAGTGGATCTAATAAATAAGGATAATTTTGCCTCTAGATTTCCAGAATAGCAATTGTTTTGCGAATTTCGGACGCTAAAATGATTTAACCTTTGAAACTATATATTGTTCGCTGTCAAGCAAATATGTCGCATGTCTACTGCAGCTCCCCCTGGTGTTACCAATTTTCCTGTTCGTTATGAGCCTGGTGCTGTTGGTACTCACCTGTATACAGAAACCTGGCATCAGTTTGCTGGCCTTCTGTCTCACCATGGTAGGGGTGCCATGTTACGTCCTGGGCATATACTGGAAATCTAAACCAGAAGTGTTCAATAGATTTAATAGTAAGTATGATAATGTTGGAATCTTTATTCCGTGAAAAGTGTTATGAATACGATGATTTCAGCGGCAAATATTCAGAAATTGTTATCAAATAAAAAAAAAAAGGATCAAAACATATTTTACTTTGATAGCATGTACAGAAAATTCATCAAACGTGTGTTGCTTTTGATCGCTTTCTTGATAATACAATAGCTGTATTTAGTGTTAACAACGTAGTGGAAGAATGTTCTGATGATTACTTGATCTATGAACATTTATTTATCTATAATCGGAAAAGTGTATTGTCATTTAGACTTTTGACTTTGTGGTAAATGATTGTGCGCTATGTCGGGTAGGCTTATAGTTTAAGTTAGATCAATGTCTTTCATTCTACGAAGACATTTCATGGGTGGTAAAGTTACACTATATAATACACTTCGTGAGACTCGTTATGTGACTGGATAGAAAAACCACAGTCGATTTTAATATGTCTTTGAGTTTTGTTAGATCTACCGATATTTTTGGTAGCATTTTAGAACACATTTTGTGGTTTTCATTTCAGGTAATGTTACATCCTTCATACAAAAGGTACTTTTAGTTGTTCCACAAGACGATGAAATCGAATGGGCGATGAATTAACATTTGGATGAATATTAAGTCCAGTCTGGCACCGATTGGTTGACTTGTTTTGGAAGTGACCAATAGGAAAAGTTATGAATAAGTGACGTCACTGTATTGCACGAGTTTAATTGTATTGTTTGAAGTATGAATGAAGTTTGAAGTATGATTGTAATGCATGGTTCAGATACGATAAGAGTGAGTGACACAATAGCGTGTGTGATATAAGTAAGATAGATTGTGTACGATAGAACTAGAATAACGCCCTCTCTCGTTCCTTCGCTTTGTAGAAAAGACACGAGACTGACACCATTATGTGAGCTGATTGTCTTGATATGAATCTCTGCATCGTCAAATGATTTTTGATTTAGGACAGTGTTTACTTCCAGACCACCATTATTTCCCACCTGGTATATTGCAATACGTATTAAATGAACATGACATATACTTAAGTAAAACATTCCTTTATGATGTCATTGTGTTCTGTTCACATTTAATGACATTGTGATGTTTACATTATCACATACCTAACATGTTTTAACTACATCCATTACATAGTTTATGTTATTAAACATATGACTTAGCGGAGTTGTTATTAGCTAAAATGCCCCATTGTTTAGGTTGTGACGTGATGACGTATACAATTTGACGTCTCATAAAAGATATAAAATGAGAATATCTCCAATCTGGATTTTGTAACAGCCCCATAAAATTTTTTTTTCATGAATGTTTGCGAAAGTTATGTGACAAACAGAATCTTAAATTCGCTTCCATTCGATATAAGGTTTATGGAACTCTTCAGCAATTCGTTAAAATTTACTGCGCCAGAGGCTAAAAGATTAAATATATATATCAGACTCATTCGTTTAAGAAATCTCATCTGAATGGAAACTTCTGTAAGATCACATTATGGTTTTTTCAAAACAGCAGGTATGTTGACTTTCTAGCAAATGAAAACTGAAGAAAATAGGATTGTGGCAAATCTATTTATTTTAATTATTAAATTGTACATGTTAATATCAAGCTGTATATGTTCACGAATGTTTGGTGATAAAATGTGTGTTATTGTGCAGATTTATATATATTTAAGTGCTACGGACTTGTAAATGACAGACACATGCCATTAATATCACATACATTTCAGTATAAACCCCCTATTTCGATTGTGATGTATGTTTCAGTATTAAACACATGTTAGCTGTAGTCGCGCCAGTGTCGCGATGCTTCATTACATACTAATGGATGTCTTACATAATCCATGCAGTTGTTTGTGAATCATCTGGATGTTTTATTGTGGAGTCATACATATTTTAGTGCTACAATTGTGTTAGTTTTAATTGTATCGATACATAATGGGTCGTATTACTATTTCTGTCTCATTTACATCTAAGCTAGTAAGTATCCAGTTCCATCCAAAATATAATGAAATGAAAAAGTAAACAGGGATTGAATCATCCTCAAAATGAAAGGATTCAATACTTAAGCATAAAATACATGCACGTATGTTACAGAAGCCATTATTTATTTCAATGCCTCTGACAAGAATCGAACCTGGGACCCTGGCTTACTAATCTGTCGCTCAACCAATCGAGCTAAAGAGAAGTTCTCTCTAGCCGAGTGGTATATTGCAGCTAGTTTTAATAATGCCACTTTGTATCTTCATTTTACTGAAAATATTTACTAAGTCTTACATACTTGTACACAAAACACTTAAGTGAACATACTATTTCTACACAAATTTTAGAATCAGAGTCACACATTAATTGTTATTTTACTATGACATATTACAAGTGTGCCGGACTAGGAACCGATAATTTTGTGCATAAGATATATCTCAAAATTATCCATATCTATCACTACGTGACCACCATGATCGATATTATTCCCTTCCATCATAACAACACAACGAGCAGGTTGAATACCGTTGTATAAGAGACTCTTCATCGTTTATACATTTGTAATACATGTTTTACGTGAGTTGTAATCACATTGATATCAAATATTTAAAAAAAGAAAACGATAATTATACAATACTGGAAAATACACATGACTGCTTAGAAAAAGTTGCTCGTTTTCTGTTTTTTGTGGTTTCAACTGCGAAAATACGTAAAAAAATGTTTACAGAAAGACAACGGGTTATGCATACAAATATATTGTAATTTAAAAAAAAAGTTAACGCGTTCCCTCTTTATCCACTTAAATGTATTCTACACGAATATATGAATTATGCATACCATGACATTATAGAACTTTCCGCAATATTTATTTCTCTTTTTTTCATAACTATGATCAGAAATATTTTAACTTTCTAAGTATCGATCTCATTTTTTATATATATATATGAAGTCAGTGTGTGGGCCAAGTCACATCACAGTATCAAGTCCTCAAACGAAACAGAGAACTTAGGTTGTTACCTCGTTAATTATTCATTATTAAAAGTAAATTGGTAATACATATTTATAAATTACTGTATTTAAAATGCCGCTGTATCTACGAAATGCTGATATTTTTTGTGTGACGCATGATACAGTGTTCTGGGTTAAACATTTACAAAAAGCAATGAAAATACAAGTGTATTTGTAGTAAACAATTTTTTTGTACATGGTTGATGTGTTTACTAGTTTCATTCGATGAAATAAATGTCTGTATCCGGATGTGTTTCGAACCCTTTATTTGTAAACGTTCAGACCATTTACAGTTCCCCACTTCTATCTAATTATGCCTTCACTTGGCGATTTCATAATCTGTCATTGATGCATGTCACACGGATATCATTCGTAAGGATTGTAACAGTGAATATCTATTAACGGTAACATGTAAAACCACGTTTATTCACGTCCAGAACGAGAGGTCCCAGCACTTGACCCATTAGAAAAAAAATATTGGATGTGAAAGGCATGGAACATAGGTGTTAACCGTAGCTAATGTTAATAAAAAATACTATGACAACATCTTCACTTTCCTAAATATGTTTGACTAACTTTAAATTATTACTAAACATGAAGATGTAATTTGACGAAGTCTAATTGTATTTCGTGCTCCATCAACCAGTTCTACTTTATGTTGACCTTAAAAAGGAATTAAAAGTAGACTATTATCGGAAATACTATTTGGTTTAGCGCGGATGAGGATTTGTACGAAAACAACAATTTATAGAAAACATGTAAAATATGGCCCCTTTAGTTAGTACGTACACTGAGGAAACTCACATTTCACAGTAACCTTTTAATTAAATAATACATAGACAAAACTTTACTTTAATGAAACTTGAAAATGGATAAATGAATATGAAACGAGGAATTGACAGAACAAACTTTTGAGCGGTGTGTGATAAACAGACCAGGACCACCAAGAGTTTTCCCGTGACACTTATAGCATCTGCCACGATTTCCCTGAAAAAAGACGTACACCTGTCATTAACGATATAAGTGATGTAACAAATAATGAGCTAAATACCTAACTTTTGTTGTATGACCTGGTCAAAACAAAGACGGTAGAATTGGATTACAGCGTAGTTTTGATCACTTACGGTAGACAATCCTGGATAAACAAGAAAATTTTATTATCCAAACTGATGTTTTGATCAAAATCACCATTTTTATAACTTTGTAAAATCTACGTTCGCCTGCCTTGGCATTCTCGGTGTACAGCCTTGAACTCACATCCACTGGAGATGTAGAGAGTTTGAGATAGGTTTTTATTCTATGAAAATATATTGCTAGATTTTAGAAAATTATGTTCATATATAACGTTATAGTCATGATTGTTGGCGAATTTTGATTTCTTGAGATAGAGACATGTATGTATAACGGGTTACTCAAAGTGAGATAGCCATTCTCACAAACGAGTTAACATACGTGTTTGTTTTTTTTATTTTTCGGTTTGTTATCAATAGAAAACACAGACATGTAGCAACATTGACGCCTATCAATCATTTGAGCAGTTACGGATTTGAACATATACACCTGTAGACGTGACACGTACCCAAAGTACGACCGAAGGAGTGACATAGTCGAAATATGTACCAAATGCACATTCTGATCTCCCAGAGTTACTTCCCTTCGTTTCATTCTGTCGAGATAAGCTTGATAGCCGAGGTTGCTCAATGCACGACCAGAGGAGTGACGTATGTGATCGTGACTAGACTAAGCTAATAGGGAAGTCTGACCTTTCTTTATCGTCTACGTAATAGTGTACCACACATATACAGTCAGGGGTTCGGGTTTGTCTAATAAATGATGAATATACTGTCATAAGAGACAAAATGAATCAAACCCATTGGAGGTGAGATAGGTGGATCTCAACCCGTCAAACATTTGCTCATTCTCAGACCACTGTAACCTGTGGCGGTATATAAGCGTGGAAGTTCGTCACTGTTGCAACCCCCAACATGATAAATAAAATCCAAGATATTGTTATGACTGACAGACGAGTTACAGAGAGATATATATAGCCAGTATAGTTGAGATTTCACAGGAAAGAGTACATTAAATTCTTATTAAAGATCTTGCAATGAGAAATAGCTCGCCCTGTTGGGTACCGAGACTTCTGACAGTTGATCAGGAGCTGTTTTGGGGCAGATCTTGCTAACATTCTGCAGAGGTTTGTGAGTATGGATGAAACTTGGGTCCATTGTCCTACTCACAGCAGCAGCAGTCTATTTAATCTACTGCATTTACCACAAAACCTTGTAAGTATATATTGTAGACTCGTTGTAAAATACATCCACGAAATAACTGTCAATAACATAAAAATAACCATACTTTAAATTAGTAATTAACACATTCATGACAATTAAAATGGTTTCTCAGTTTTCATATCAATTTCTTGTTTGTAGGCCGAAAAATTCTATTTTTATTGAATCTGGACATACGCATAGCCAAAATCAGCCCTGTATCCAGCCGAGAGAATTTCTACCTAGGTAGAAACGCATTATCTAAGGAACCTGTGCCAGTGGTACCTCTCGCAATACATATTAAGGTTGTTGCTTTGCCTTATTACGTTCAAAAATAATTACCCGGGGAAAACCCGAGTGTTCGGGCAGCTGACCCCTTACCTTTTCACGTTCGGTTCTTGAACCGAATCATCATATCTTCTGTACTTAAAGAATATTTAGTACAATATCTTAAATGGATCAAAAGACGCTGATCCATAACAATTCTAAACAAATGACGATCACAATTTCACAACGTTCTAGTCACAAATATATGCAGTCACAAGAAATCGCGTCTATGGCAATACCATAAACAAAGTGTGTCAATGTTCAGAGTTGGACGATTTGTACTTTGAACATTTCTATAAACACATATACATTGTATATAAATGAAAATTTACAAGACCGTAATTCCTGGTAATGTTTCCTTGTAGATGTCTCTGTGTATTTTTTCTTTTGTTGATATTTTGTCCCGATATCATCAGAATTTTTGGTTTTTGTTTTTGTTTTTTTTTAAAACTGTCTTGGTTTTTATGACCTTGACCTCAGCATCAATGGCGACTCAACAAACGTATCCTAGATCTTTCGGAAATTGCTGTATCT